CCCCCCCGTTCTCCATTTTTAGCTATGTTTTTCTAGTAACTTTATAAAATATGCCATAACTATCAAAAAACATTATAATATATGCCATCAATAATTCAAGACTTCAACCCTTAATGCTAATTCCTCAAGTGTTCAGTAATTGCAGTTTTTCTAGTAACTTGTAGTTTTTTCCTGACAAGTGTACAGTAATTGCAGTTTTGATGATAAATTTTAACGCACAAGATAAAGGAATACAGAAAACTTACATATCCACCACCACCAATGACAACATCTCGGACGCTTTCTCTGATGGTCATTCCACTCTTGACATCAATGTCAGGCTGGGGCAATCGTAGTTTTGTGGGGCGCTCACTGTCCCTAACCTCTTCAGGATCTAGGGGGTCCACAGATGCATAGTCTCCAAGAACAGAAACACTCCCAGGAAAGCGGTCTCCCATTAGTGCATATGGTTTTGCAGGGAATACATAAAGGTGAACAGCAGCAGCAATTCCCATCTGTGCTGGGAAAACATGTATACCTACATAAGGATCAGAACATGGACAGTGGCAGTGTTTGGTAATTGAAATGGGCACCGAGTGGAATGCAAAAAGGTTCCAAATTTAAAAACACCCCATTTGTCACTTGTTTTGTGAAATGATGAAGAGTGGACATTGTGTGATTATTTTACCTTTAAAATTTCACCCTATACCAATAATAACCCTGGAATTAAGATAGTTTTAAATTTGGGATCTTTTCTTTATTCCAGTTTGGCCTATTCCAACAGTTATCAAACATCACCTAGTCTTCACTGCACACTAACAGAGAATCAAAGAGAGGAAGCATGTGATCAAAACAACCGTCCAACTAAAAGCTCAAATAAAGCAACCAAACATATAGAACCATGTGTACAGAAAGAGAAAACGAATGAGAACCCAGGACATGTGAGTATGTGGTGGCAGCAGAACAATATAAACTGAAAAATCAAGAAGTTACTGGGTGCTAGTTTTCTCAAATGTTAGCACAACATACAGATGTAAGGTGGCTTGTTGCTGTTGGATTGAAGTCTTTGTATGTATGAGTATTCGGCTGATAAGAGTTCTTATTAGCCATTACTTAAGTTTAAGTTGTCCTGTACTGGGCCTTTGTTAATGGGCCTAATCCTGTTTAATGTTTTAAGTTGTCTGGGTGTCCCATCACTAATCAGGGGCATTCTAGTAACTTCCTGTATCATTGTACTAC